CTGTCAGCTTTGAAAGCTGAACCAGTTCCTTTTCTAGTTCTCACTAAACTTTTTTGCATTGTTTTTCATTGCTGGATTGGTCTGTGCTGGGTTTTTTCCCTGTTCGAGTCCACTTTATGACAATAAGGAACAATAAGGTACAACCATGTTCTATAAACATTGAGATTCTCAAGGCCGATTTTCAATTAACCTTGGCATTGATAAAATAATTCGCTACACTCATGATGAACAAACACGAGCTCTTACTACATCCTCAATTCACGCAAAAGCTGATGTTTCATCTGATTTTGCCTTCTTCAGATTCTGGAAAGGTCAGGTTGACTGAAATCCAGAAAGCTTTGCTGGGTAGATTGCCGTCAACTTGACCTTTTCAGGCTTTGAAGAAAGTGAAATTCGACGAAACATCAGCTTTTCCGTGAGTAAAGAATAAGCTAGCACCTCGTCCTTGCTCATCAAGAATATTGTAAGGCATTAGTGTTCCACATAAATCCGCATTCTACAGGCCCCATGAAGGAAGGTAATTTTGAACCCCGACGATGAATCCTTGGGACTAAATAAGAAAGTATACGATATTAGACGATTTATGTTGATCGCTAGATTTATTCATTGAAGGTGTCATTACACATTAGTACACTGGCTGTGTACTTTTCATATTGTCGACTTTTGATGTTTGACGTCACCGACGCGCAATGGCTGTCAGCTGTGTGAGTGTGTTTACCTCCAACTACTCTACGAATTGTGGTTGCAGGTCAAAGATTTTTTAGCTATTTTTTACTTACTCGCTTAGATACTTAGATGGCTAGTCTGTACTTGTCGTGAAGGTCCCAAAACTTCTTCAATTCGTTTCGATGTCCTACAATCGTAATCCATAATGGTTTTGGAACCTTCGGATGGATTTGAGTGAAATCCAAAACTATCGAATTTGGGCGTTTTTAGGTCGTCACCACAAGCAGAGGGCTACGTTTATTGATGGGAGGAAAGTTTTTTGCCTTTCGAGATGGGTTTTTCAGCGCTGCAGCGATTCTTGCGATTCTTGTGTTTATAGCGAATCCTTCGATTACTCAACCGACCTCTGGGGAACGCTGTAACAAACGGAATCCGTTTATGTATGTTCATTACGATTTAATGAGGACCAAGCCAGGAGATAACGATGAAGCACTTTCAGAAGGAGAAGACTCAATTTGTAAAAACCCAAATGAAAATTTTGCTTTTTACTTAACGAATCTACAACAAGTTAGGGCTTTTCCCATGCGCTTGTTGACGAGTACAAGAAGTCTTTCGAGATTTATGAGAGAACCTCGGCACTTCTTTGGTGCTTATGTTCCCGCGTATTTATCTTTTCAGGGTCGGATTGACCCGAGTCAATTCTCCATAACTGGACGTCCTCAAAATGTCGATCTTCGTAGTTCTACCGAGTGGAATCTTCAGTGCTGGAGCACAGCTCAAATGAGGAAGCTCACTTAGGAGTGCCTTTTGATACATGGCGGTTGTTAACCTGTTGTCATCCAATATGGTCAGTTATTTTCGGCGGGATGCACACTGTAACAGTCGGAAAAAAGCATACAACATCGGCAGGCAATAAATCAACAACTGTTCCGTATAAAAACGCACCATAGTATGGGCCACTTTATTCCAGGGGTGCTCGACTCTTTCGGATTCAACTCGATATGACGGTGAAGATCTATGTCACGACTACGACCGCCTGTGGAGAAACAATTCGGATCAAAACTGATCCGAAAAAGGCGAAAAAGCTGTAACGGTCGAATAAAAATCTCACAAAAATTTAACCCAGTCGCCTAAAAAAATATGTTGTATGTGTTGTCGCTGTCCCAACAATAATGTTTCATCACATAACCACCATTTACACCTGCTAGTCGCTTACTAAGATCTATCATTTATATACCTAGATGATCTGCACTTACGGCTTATCTCTTACTGTTTTTTTTGAGTCCCAGCACTTCCGTTCGTTCGATGTTTGGAAGCCGACTTCCATGGAGGCAGTCGTAATAGTGTATAGCTTCACCTGTGACGTGAAGGTCTGAAAACAAGCCCTTGGAGATCGTTTAGATTTTTTCGGTATTAATTCTAAATAATACTGTTTTCGTTTACATGTCGTCATCTGTGCCTACTACGTGGTCGATTAGTTAACGTTCATGTACGGTAGGGGTGATCAATAGGCTGTGAGAAGTTTAAGCGTGACCTTTGCGGCTCGATGTTTCTCACCGAATCACCTCATCATCTATATTTCACAGGATATATGGAGGGACTAATTAATCATTTAGCTTGACAGAATATGATATAGATAGGTCTGCTAGCACACTCTTTGCAAAGTACCGTTGTTCCGTACAGTTGTGAATGTTATGGTATTGAAAGGAGATAAGGACGCCGACTACCGTGACGAAGAATTCTCAAGAAGCGTTCAGATCGTCGTCACGATAGCCATTCCTGAATCATTCTCGCTTGTCGACAGCTACTATTTCAATTCAGTCCTGATAATATGCTCAATCGGACAATGACCACATGCCAGTGAAACACAAACTGTCATCGTCTAACGAATACAGTAGACGACGAGCAGCAATCTTGGTCTGATTTCTCGCATTTTCATCACCAGTATCTTTTTGCTTTAGTATTTTCATAACTTAACAAGCAAACTAACAGAAAAAAAATCAGTAACTGTAGTCATCAAAGGCGTTCAAAATTATCAAATATGTAGGCTAAACGATTAGAACTCACACGTGTAAAAGATGAGAGTAAAGACAAAGCTTTCGGCGTTTGATTAATCTTTGAGGGAAGGAAGTACCGTACATTCGACTTCATCAAGCATCGTTGGAATGATAGAATGCATATTCGATGTATCGAGTCAGTACCGCGATCCACTCAGAGAGGTGGTACCAATTCGCCTAGCCGGAAGGGATGGAAAGCTTGATGAGTCCTGGGCTTAGGATCGAGCCCATGTGTATTCCATGGCACCTCTAACCACTGCGCTACACGTACCCCTCATATATATCATTTCGTTTTTTGAATATTTCTTCGTTTTTACTAGAACATGGTAACAAATATTAGGCGTAGATCAGTCCATAAAAGAACACAAAGTAATGAAAAGAAGAAAACTGGTAGTCGATTGATCATTTCGAGCGATTTGAAAAGAATCGAACACCGAATGAATACCGGTGAGGCACTAGAGGCTTATGCTTAGTTAGCTAACTCCTTAACTTTCTTCTTATCGTCACATTTGGTTCTGTCTGTGCTTTTCTCTTCAATTCTGGTTTATTTTGTTCAGTATTATTTACCACTGGCTTCCATGCCATTCTTTTTCTACTTCCTTTCCGGTTTTCTTCTTCAGTATGCTCTCTTATTAAACATCCAGTTTTGTTTCCCTTTAACTCTAGTTTCCTTTTTTTATTACTTTTTGTTATTTCGTTCTTAATTTCTCTTTCATTTTCTCTTTAACACCCTTCTTTGTACAATCACTTCTCTACTGATTTCCCACTGCGTTCACATTTTCGCACATTTCTCCCGTTTTTTTCTGTATTCCTCTCTTTGCTGCACTTGTCTTCAAAGTGTTCTCTCAATCATTTTTCTCCACTTATTGAAGAAACGATCTCATCTAGGCACGTCTTTAAATCTCTCTCATAAGTAGCGGTCAGCAGAGTTTTCGAGTACGTAGAGGAAGGAAAGCACCTTGTACTTCTTTGAAACATCCTGTCATATGTTCTTCCCTACTCCTTTACTGAATGTTTATGGAGAAGTCTAAGAAACGTGTAAAAAAGAGAGCTAAGGAACAAGGAAAATAGAGAGAAAGAGAGAGAGAGAGAAAGGGAAAAAGAAAACAGACACAAAACCCATGAAAGGGAGAGAGGGAGTGAGGAAAAGGATGAAAAGGATAGAGGGAAAGAGAAGGAACGGAGCAACTCGTCATTCAGGCCGAATGAGAAGAAAGATGCAAAATCACTTTTGGAGACTGAAGGCATCGATCATTCTACCAGTGGTTCTTGACTTTACAACACTATATACCCGGAAAAAGTATTAGCGATAAAAGACAATCCAAAAATGGAACATTGTCACAGGAACAAGTCATCCTTATGGCATATTATCAGGTATGACCCATTCTGACACCAGTGCTCCGCTCACCTTACAAATACATCTTTATTATGTCTAATTCTTTCTGCTTCTGTTCAACAAACACGAGGTGTTATTTTATTCCTTTGTTTACGTACAAGCTGACGTTTCGGCGGAGTTCGCCTACCTTAGAGCCTGGAGAGGTCAAGTTGACTGCGATCTATTCGGCAAAACACCTCCATAACCAAGCAGAGAAAACGCTAAACCAAAATTTCAATCACATTGAACACTGCTCTACACACTCACCGCTTTCTATGAGTCTTCCACTGAGTATGTCGCGTGAAGACCAACCGCACAAAATTCTCATGGAAGCGTAATGTGCCTCTCCCATCAGAATAACAGTCTTACATACTGCTCTACATCACACGTGATAATGAGGCATTCTTCCCTGCGGTTCATTTTTGGATTTCTGGAATTAATCCAGAACGCCTCGAGAGTTTTGCGTGCTTGTGTTCTCGATTCCTGTGCAAGGATCGTGACCCGTACTTCAAAGTCCTCCCCGTTATGTCTCTGGGTCCTATGCGTGCCTAGCGAGGTATTTGGTTCATGTTTGCCGGCTAGGTGTTCTTTCATGCGGACACAGAGGGGTCTGCCCGTTTCGCCATTGTATTCGTCTCCGCATGCCTTGCAGGAGATCAGAATTTATGTTCAGGATTTATTATGTCTGTTACTATTTTTTGTTTAGTTTTGTTTGTCACTCTGTTTATTTTCGCTCCTTCGTCGTCAAGTGCATTTAATGTTGTATGATTTATCATTGAAAAGAAGCGATTTCTAGTTTTTTCTCCTTTTCATGAGTCGATCGTTCGCCGCAGATAATCGTTTTCTTACATTGATTTTTTTTACGTTGATGTGTTAATCTATTTATTCTAGTGTTTTTCTAGATGGTGTACTTCTTTAATCGCACTCGATATGTGGTGGTCGTGTTGTCGACCATCTGCTTAACGTTGATCTTCTCCAATAGTATCGCATTCAACTTCACCATTATCTGTATGGATGATGTTCGTATTGAATACTATCAGCAGCAATCGATCAATAATGGCACAAGTCAGTATTTCTTTGCATTGATGTGGTAAGCTTGAGAAGGATAAAGCGCTTGTGCTGATGAATCATTAGGAAATCGCCATGCATTCGAGTCCATTCGTAGCATGGAAGATCTGGTTGCGTGCTTCTTTGGTCTCTTCAGTTACTTTCGGGACTCTACGAATGCATTAACTTTGTGTTTTTTTTTATCCTGCCAGACAAATCTGGTACCGATTTGCCGACTGCTGAGAGACGGATGGCTTGCTGAGCCCGTGACGCGGGATCGAACCAACGATCACTTGTGTATTGCAGGACATCTTTAACCACAGCTTTACACGTCCTCATGAAATTTCATCTTCATTTGTGGTTTCTTCCTATGTTTGTAGTAAGCTGGAGATTAGCATACAAACGAATTTCACTGATCGTTTTTATACGATTTCTTCGTTCATCGTCTTCACATTATTATGTTTGGATATTCATTTTTTTATATGACCCGTCTTCATGTCCGCTGTACGGATCCCAGAACTTCTCTCATTCGATTTATTTTCTCGCATCCATTGTCCACGAACGTCTTCCAACTTTAACGTGTGGCTTCGGTTTCTGCTTGAGGATTTTCATTCCATCTTGAATTCCATAGAATGCTGGTCGAGCAATTCATCCTGGAGTCTTTAGATAGCCGGACTGGACTGGAGCGTTCCCAATTGGATTAAAGAGAGTGACTTTTTCCCCAGACAAGTCCGGTACCAATTTCCCGACTTCGGAGGGACGAAAGGTTTGGTTAGCTCGGTGCGGAATCGAACTAGCACCATGCTCGTGATGGAGATGGGTGATGGATAACATCGTGATCACCGTATTGATGTTTTGATATAGTTTCAACAAGCTTATGACGTCCACCTTATTATTAAAACTATGAAGAGCAGTAATCTATTCATCAGTGTGCAGAACGGGATTTCATATTGAAAACCAGTTAGACGTTGACTGTTGATTTAACACGAGAATATCAGGACAAGAGATTTCACGTCCTGGAATTTGAACTCCAAACTCTTTTCTCACCTTAAACGACAATCTATAATAGAAGAATAAAAAGTATTCCAAAATCCGCTAACCACTCTCAATCAATACACATTTGTATCCATTCCGATTTCTATGTTATTCAATGCAGTGAGATACAGTTATGTGTGAGGAAATGATGTGTTCATTCTTTCATCTATCCATCATACATTCATTCTTCCATTCATTTGAGACTACGTCATAGTATTGTGCGGATCTCAGCACTTTTTGAATTATTTTGTCCTCCTCTCATCCGTGATCGACCAACACGTTGCGATTTCCATGTGGGTTCAACTACTCAGCGAGGGTTATTGGTCACCTCTATAAATGTTGAAAGCCGTCGAGAAAATTCACGCTAGAATTCCAGAACAGGCGCTCCAAAGTATCCAACACATGAACTTGCCACTGTTTGCGGATTATAGAGAGCTTTTCCCGAAAAAATTTGGTATAAACGTGCCCATGTCTGAGTGAAAAAGATTTAGTTGGTTAGGAGTGGGATCGAACCAGCGATTATTTGTGCAGCATGGTGAATCCTAACTAAGGAAAAATAATAAATGCTAATAAAAATATATCTTTCTACTTCTGTTCAGCAAACACGAGGTGCTATTTTATTTCTTTATTTACGCACAAGCTGACGTTTCGGCGGATTTCGCCTTCCTCAGAGTCTGGAAGGCTCAACTTGACAGCAATCCATTCGGCCAAACACCTCCATAACCAAACAGAGAAAACGCTAAACCAAGATTTCAAACACATTTAGCATAGCTCTGCACACTCACCGCTTTCTATGAGTCTTCCACTGAGTATGTCGCATGAAGACCGAACGCACCAAATTCGCATGGAAGCGTAATGTACTCCTCCCATCAGAATAACAGGTTTATATACTGTCCAATATCGCGCGTGATAACGAGGCATTCCTCCCGGCAGTTCATTTTCGGATTCTTGGAGTTAATCCAGAATGCCTCTAGAGTTCTGCGCGCTTGTGTTCTCGATTCTTGCGGGAGGATCGTAACCCTTACTTTAAAATCTTCTCCGTTATGTTTCTGCGTGCTACGCGTACCTAGTGGAGTACTTGGCTTACGTTTAGCGACTAGGTGTTCTTTTATACGTACGCAGAGTGGTCTATCCGTTTCGCCAACGTATTCGTCCCCGCACGCTTTACAAGAGGTCAGATAGACTGTACCCGAACTCATGCAGTCACCGTCGCTACCATTGGGACAAATGCAATTTTGTGTTGCACATAGACGGTCGTATAGGCGGTTACGAACTAGCTGGCGCCTTAGATTACTCGGTGGTATTTCGATTATCGTTACCGAATTCTCTAGACTGGCCCTTCTTAAACAGCGTTTTATAGCTGCACTTACTTCATTTGAAATGAAGGGCAGTATAAACAGGACCTTGTTGTCGCTAGAGTTATCGTTGGGGTACCTGTGGTTTCCTCTACACCTATCTCGAGCTACGGTTTCGTAGCCATTAAAAATGACTATTTGCCGCGCCAAGTTCCGGGACTCCTCTCTCTGTTGTCTTCCTGTGCACACGCTGGTAGCTGTTCGATACATGTTTCTCACAAGCGCCCTTTTCGTGTGAGAGGGATGAGAGGAGAGGTAATGAACTAGGATGTTTTTACTACCTGGCTTTCGATACTTCGTAATGTAGCCGTTTTCCGATGGACTAATTTGCACGTTCAGAAATGGAAGCCAGTCTTCTTTTGGTTTCTCTCGGGTGAATTTAATATACTCTGACTGTGTGTTCAACAACTCGAAACATCTGTTGATTTCTTCTTGCGTTGAACAAATGACCAAGGTGTCATCTATATATCTACAGTAGAGTAACGGACCGAGGTCGATTACTGGCGCTTCCACCTTAGACACGAATGCAATGGCAAGGCTTGGTGCTAGTCGTTGTCCCATTGCCAGCCCTCTCATTTTTGCGTAATACCTCCCGGACCATCTGAAGATTGAGCAGTTTAGGCACTCCTTTAAGAGTGTCATAAACTGCTGAATCGAGAAGCCGTACATGTTTATTGCTCCTTCGTGTAGTATAAGAAGCTCGTTTATGGCTTGCATAGCGGAGTCATTGGACACGTTCGTATACAGGGCAGTGACGTCGAAGGACTCCACCACGTACGCGCTGTTGGGTCGCACGTTACCTAGACGATCCAGGAACATTTGGGTGTTCGTTAGATGAGCTGGAATGTACTTCAACAACTAAGTATTAGGGTTATTAACCACGTTATCCTATCCGTTGGCCCGTCTACGCAGCTAATGATAGGTCTAACCTTAAATAACGATGGATCGGTAGACACGAGATCATCGCTACGATACTAACTTATGGGTTTTGATAAGTACAGGACTGGACATGTTGGTAAGTCAATTTTGAGATGAGAGATAACTGATGGTTTTAACCCAACCGCTCTTGCCACTTTAACCCATTCGTTGTTTAACTTTCGGTATTGACTTTTAAATTCCTTCTCAGACGATGGACGATAAAGGGAAGCATCTTTAAGGTGCTTTTCCGTTATCTCAACATCTAACTGATGAGGAATTACAACGACCTCTCCACCCTTATCACTAACTGATAGTCTTATGTTTTTTGATCTTATCAGCTTTCGTACCTTCCGCATACCACGTTTTTGTATTTCAGTGAGGTTGGAGCAGTATCTTATAGCGCGATAGTGATTAAGGACTTTGAAAGTTTCATTCGTAAACATCCAAAATTTAACATCTACTTCATTAATGGGCTCTTGTTGTCTAAAGAACGGTTGAGGAAATGGTGGTACTGGTATTGCCCCTGCTCTTTGTTGTTAGCTTGTGCGCAAATAACGGAATAAAATAGCACCTCGTGTTTGCTGAACAGAAGTAGAAAGATATATTCAATCAATGCCGAGGCTAATAGAAAGTCGGACTTGGGAGTTGCTAATAAAAATGTCTGTGTAGAATCATTTGGAACGAGGATAAACGAAATAAATTCAAATACAACGTTGCTGAGATATTTGCAAAACTCCGAACCGCAGGTTTTTGCGTTGGAGAACGAACGCTCTATTACCTTTTCCGGGAGCTAACGCGTTCACCAACACACCATGCGGGTTCTTCGTTTCGCCGGTGGCCCAGCTGGTCCTATCGATCAGTGCCATCAGCAATCACTGGAGCCCACATCGGCATTGAACAGCTGAGGATGTAGTTGAAATCACAATTAACTAGACTCGATGTCGATGAGGGCCCCGCAGATCAATCCCGCTGACGGGTGATTGCTGATGGCATTAATCGATAGGACTAGCTGGGCCACCGGCGAAACGAAGAACCCGCATGGTGTGTTGGTGAACGCGTTAGACCCCGGAACGGGCAATAGAGCTTTCGTTCCCCACCGCAAAAACCTGCGGTTCGGAGTTTTGCAAATATCTCAGCAACGTTGTGGTTGTTTTTCGCTTAATACGCTGCGGTAAAAATTGTAGTAGGCAGAAAACGAAAAGTAAAACATTGTGAAATAAATTCAATATTAAATCAGCTAATTATAAGAATACTTCGGACGCGTGTGGCGCACTGGATGAAAGCGCACTGCAACAGACATGCGATCGGTTTCGGCTCCCCTGGCCCATCAAGCCTTCCATCTCTCCGGAGTCGGCAAATTGCTACTAGACTTGGGTGGGAGGATAGCAGCACTGGCTCAGATATATTGGTAAGACACTGCGAGTCATTCTGAAGGCCAGATATGCATTCAATCAACTCCAAACGATGCTTATTGAAGTCGAATGCATGGCGCATCCTTAGGGGATTGGCCAGTGCCAAGAGCTTTATCCTTTTTATAAAAATACTCAACATTTTAGATGAATCGTCCCCACACTGGCTTGAATCGGGTAGTCACACCAATGCGCTATTTTCTGCGATTGCTGTCGGTTGTCTCATTGGTACATTACTGTGTACCTATATTATACACAAAATCGGTTTCTGGTAAGTGTATTTATTTTAAATACATATTCATTCTTCTTCTCTTTCCTTCTTTTTCGTCCTTTTTCGTTGGCTTTACTTTAACTCGTTTTTGCAGTTTTCTCTGGTTTCATGTTCTTCTTGAACTTATCAATTGTTGGTGTTAACCAGGGGTAAACGTCCCAAGTGATTAGTTATCTTCCTAATTTTAGTAGTATACTATATGGAGAAGTTTTTCCTATAAAAACTAACTTTTAATTTGCATTTTCATAAGTGTTTCTCCTAGAAAACGTTGGGTTCACGAATGCTGCTTTTCATTCAACTGACTTTTCTGGAGCAGTGGAATCTTATCAATAACAGATCTCTAAGCAGAACGAGTAGACAAGATGTGATGAGAACCTTGTCAAGAGCGATTAAAAGTAGAAAGTTCTTTACCTTTCTCTTTTCAACATTAGATTTTTTTAGATTCATATGTGCTGAAAAAACTTTGTTGTTTCTTAATTGAGCTTAAACAACTTATTTTCCTGCCTGCAGGCGCTTAACACATCTAAGACAGTGTTAGCTATATATGTATGTGTATACATATATGTGTGTATATATATACATGTATTTATGCACATTTTTACCATCTTAATACTACATGTTGTATAACTGAAACAAATCAAAAGCAGTAAACAGAATTTCTCACGTTGATGAGCGATGCATTTTAGTGGTACGATGACGGCCTACGGTACCGCTTCCGCCGTAGCCACACTGGCATTACCTTTTGCGGTTCGAAGTGGATTCGTTTACGTTTTCATCTTAAGAGTGCTGCAGGTATGATCAAGACATATATATATATATATATATATATATATATATATATATATATAGAAAGGATAGAGTTTTCAGCGTTGATCAATCCCTGAGGAATGCGCCATGCATTCGACTTCATTAAGCATCGTTTGGAGGTGGTTGAATGCATATCTAGGCTTTACAATGACTCGCGGTGGCCTAACAATGTATCGAGCCAGTGCTGATATCACTAGAGTGGTTGTACACCAAATGTGGCCATAATGTCGTCAGAATATATTGAAATGATAGGAAAACTATTTAACTACCCGAACGCTTAAAGGTGCCTAATTTTACAAATCTCTATAAACAGCTGTATCTGATGTGCACCCCTTCTCTGATCCAATCATTTTGAAAATTCTTGCCCAATCAGGAGCGTATAACCTTTTTCACTTCTTTAATGGTTTTGTAGTTTTGTTGTATACAGGATAAAAAGGATAATGCTCTCAACGATCGTTGATGAGGGGTGCGCCATGCATTCAATTTCACTGAGTATCGTTGGAGGTGACTGAAAGCATATCTGCCCTTTAAAATGACTCGCGGTGGCCTACCGTTGTATCGAGCCAGTACAGCTATCCTTGCAGACAAGTCTGGTACCAATTTGCCGACCCCGGAGAGATGGAAGGCTTGGTGGGCCAGGGGCGTGGGAATCGATCGAGTGTCTATTCCAGGGCCCCTTCGTCTATTGCGCCATACGTGCCCTACATATATATGCATACATATATGTATATATATAT